TAAACTAGAGATGGGGGGTATTCATATGCAAATATGAATACCCGCGCACAGGTGGACATAATGAGGGTCCATCTCCCTGGGGCCACACCGTCCACTCACCCATCCACTGCTGCAGTTGGCTCTCCATTTCCTTCCAATCGCTCTGGAGCTCGTGGTCGACTAGCCACTCCTGACGGAAGGAGGAAAGATGAGCCTCCCTGCCAAGCTGATGAGTGGCTAGTCAACCGTGATCTCCTGAGTGATAGGAAGGAAGTGAGAATTATATCCACCTGTGCGCGGGTATTAGTGTACGAAAATGAATACCCCCATCTCTAATATAAACCTAAAAGAAAATCTAATAGGGCTCTGGTCTCCTCAATTTATTCTCTACAAAATATCAAGATGTTTTTAAATAAACTTGCAATACATTGCTTGTGCTAAGTACAGATGGGGGGGCATCCAGGCAACCTGTGGCTACAGGTTTCTTAAAACTGATCTTCGTAATGGGCACCTGGGTTTCCTCATTAAGGTTAAAGGAGAAAGCTGCTCCACATCTGGCCCCTGGAGAACTTTGCTGTGTCGTGTTGTATCATTGCTTATATTGGCAGAAGAAAAAAATATCATAGTTCACTTAATAGTAGCCCCAATAAGCACAACAATCTACTGGAGGAGCTTCAGAGGGAATCAGAAAAACAGAAATACAACTTAGTTTTTAAAAAGCAAACAAACAAAAAGAGAGCTAGCAGAGAGAGAAAGGTTTGGGAGAGGAAAGTGTTCCCATCTTTGCAAGCTTAGAAGTTGCAAATCTTGTCAATTTCTCTGATCAGTTTCTCTTTCTAATCACTGGTGTGCTTTCACTTTCACCAGCCCAGGCTGTTGCTTCCCTTGCTCCCTTCTCCTTCTCCCCAACCCCCATATGTGTGTTTACATGTTTGTATGTGTGTCTCAGTGTGCATGTGTTGGACTGCAGGGAAACCTTGCAGTCCAACCTGATTGATTTTCTTCTATCTGTAATATTGATTTAGCACTATCCCATTTTGAAAGAAACAGAAAAACAAATATTATAAATAACACGAGTGGTGAGTAGCTGTGAGAGACAGCCAGCACAAAGGGCAGGTGGGCATAGGACAAAACCTCAAATACAATGGTTCTAAAAGCCCATTTAGCCCTCCTGACTGATATACAACACAGTATGAAAACAAATTAGAAGTTTTCCCAAAAGGATGCACACCCCAACCCAAAACCATTGACTACCAGGCTACTTTAAACTGACTTCAAAAATCGCAATCCATCTCCTGATTTATTTTCACAGTGTAACTGTGGTTCTAGTCTATGGGCCAATTGTTCTGTTAGCACAAAAACATGGGAAACAGCAAGTTTAGCAGAGTATTGATTAGTCCAGGTAGTCCAGAATAACGCATGCACACACCAGCAGCTTCTCCTCCACCAACGTGTATTTACAAAATATTTACAGCAGTTCAGTCTGGCAGCAAAACAGGTAGCAATCATCACAAAGCAGGAAGATACATCTACTGTTCAGTTTCACATTTATATACGTACATATACAGATTTGCTTGTGTCCAATCACATTATGTGTTGCATCATCATGAGTCAGTTTCTACACATCTGTTCATTATGGCTGCTCATTAATATACTTTATTCTGTTCCGGTCTGTAAATTTATCTTGACATGTTCTCCCAAAACTAGCTACAGGAAGAATAAGAACTCAAAAACAGAGCCCAACAGCCAAACTTTGGGGATGGGGGAGGGGAAAAAGCCTATCAAAATAGGATGTGACTGGGCATCCAGTTCTGGTTCAGATGGGTGGTTTGGGGTCTTTTTTCCTGCCCCCTCCCCAACCGTATAGCTCCCAGAACAACTAAGAGTGTGTGTGTGTGTGTGTGTGTGTGTGTGTGTGTGTGTGTGTGTGTGTGTGTGTGTGTGTGTGTGTGTGAGAGAGAGAGAGAGAGAGAGAGAGAGAGGATTTGACCATGTCATTTTTAGAGGAAGGCCAACACCGTCTGCAAATTCTAGCAAATTCCACCCACTAGAGATTAATCAGAGATATTTCTGCCCTGCCCCACAAAATGCATGGATTATGGGCTGAAAGTTTGGACTGGTTTTCACTGAGACTATAAACTAGTGTCTGGGCTAGACCATCTTGGATTTGGGAGGGTGGCTAGGATCGCTGAATACGCCTCCATATAAAAAAATTCCCTCAAAGAGATATAAGGGAGAAGGATCTTAATCTATTGTCCTCCCTGACATGCTAATTTTCTATATGTAAGAAGTTTTTATGTAACCTACTGGGGAAAATCCTGCTAGCATATATTTATACCAGCATATTTCATATCATGTGCCAGTAATATTTAATTTAAACTAATGCAAAGCTTTCTAAGCACCACCACCTGTCTTCCAGGTTCCAAGGCTCCCTAGAGCAGCTACTTTTTGCCCTGGGAAAAGCATTTGTGGCCCTTGGGATACAGGGCAGGGAAGAGGGAGAGGGAGAGAGATTGTAATAATGAAAAAGCATCACTGTCAGCTCCAGTCCTGGTGATTATTTTATTTTATTTTATTTAGTATTTTTGCCACCCACCCAACTGCACAAATGAGGATCTCAAAAGCTTCTCCAGGGCAAAATGGAGCCTTTGGATCCTGAACAGGGAGGGGGGAGGAAATTTTGCATTAATTTAAACTAAATATTTCTGCCATCTGAATTGGGTTATGCCAGTGGAAATTTATGCTAACAAAATTTTGCCCATTTCTGTCTTAGTATCAAGTGGCCTATTAAACCTTCCCCCCCCCCCCACCCCCCCCCCATGAAAATGATCCATTCACAAAACCTTTACTGGTTTGAACCAGAACCACGTGGGAAAAATGTCCAGTCATAGGTGAAATCAACGGGCCGCAATCCAGATATATATTATGCAAAGAAGTGGTACATTTATACAGAACACAGAACAAAGGGGATGGGTGCTGTCAATTTAAATATGTCACTTCTGCTGCTTTCGCTGCAATACCGTGGAAGGCAAGGAAGTATAAGAAATTCACATTTTACAAGGCACATTTCAGACTATGTGGTTTGTGCTTGAATGAAGGAGACCCAGTTTTATAGGTGGTCTTATTCAAGTAACCTCTCACATCAAATTACTGTAGGCATATAATAAATACAATATCTACTGTAATCTGAAATGTGTATAACCCTCTTTATTGTTAATAATGTGATATATAAGGCCAAAATATCTACCCTCTTATTGAATAAACAAATATAGTGTATAATCATTTTGGTCATAAATGTAGCCAATTCTGCATTGTAAATGTTAAAAGGAGTTTGTTTGACTTTTCTAAAACATCTTAAGTTCAATGTATGAACTTTCAGGATAGTTTGTCGGTATACATCAGTGGTTAGCTATTTCTATTGCCATTTGACAAATTCCAGGTGGTCCACCTTAGAGAAAAGAGAAAAATGCCTTCCTTTACTTTAAGCCTTTTATAGGTTTCACTTCAGTTGTTTAAAACTGGACACATTTCAATTTTAATCCACTAATGCAAGCTCACTCCAATGAGTCACTGAAAAGCAATTTAAGAGTGTATGTGTTTCTGTTGCCTGCCAGGTTACAGCATACTTCTGCGGCTGGCAACAAATTACTTGGTGACAGCCTAAAATCCCTTTAAGATATGCTACCAAATTCCAAAAATTCTACTTCAACAAAAGATAGGCCGCAATACAAGCCATCTTCTCTGCCCATGTCTTTCGGATAGCTCTGCAAGTATCAGAATTTTGGTGATACAATAACCCTTCACAGGATCTCCGCACACAACCAAGCATTTTTTAAAACCACTTTCCTCCATCTCCACCACACACATCTCTTTCTTGTATATATTTTAACCTCCCTAGATATGTAAGCAGTTTGTATTCCTGTCTATTCTTGCATCTATGGTTTGGATCCAAAATTAGGCACACGATATGCAATGAGGCTGAATCCCTGTCCCTCTCCAAGTGAGGTATTTAAAGAGTGGTTTTACCAGCTCCCTGCTCCCCCAGTGGGTTTCCATAGTCAGCATTCAAATCCTGGCTTCCAAAGTCCAAGTCTAACTCTATTCACTACACCACATTGGGTCTCCATTATGAGGAGGAAAGTGGGATAATCCGCTTTCCCCAATGTTTCAATATGGCTTAATCTGAATCTGACTCTATAAATCTTTCCCAGGCTTTTCTTCCTTCTGTTTGTTTTCTTAAGAACATGGTCATGTAATCATTTAGAAATTAAGCAAAGGGAAGTGTATCCACAGGAAGATTCCTGCACAGAGGAAATTACATCAAGCACTATCTACCTGTCAATGAGACAATTTTATGCCATTTTACCTATGCTATATCTCAATGGTGACAAGTTTATTAGTGCTTCCTGAGCTGCATGCAATAATGATAGCAGGAATGTATCATCTTATAGTGACATTTCGCTATGAAAAAAATCTACATGTAGAATGCTACACACCCCTTTAGGATCTTCCGTGTTTAGGTAATTTATGTATAGCAGAAGGAATGGTGCAGATTAGCTGACATTCCACAGCATTACACAAATCAAAAAATAAGCCCAAATATCCACAAGTTTACTTTTCACTCAACCAGTGATCTAATGATCAACTTGCAATATTGTTGTGAGACACTACAGTGGTTGTTTCTGAATGAGAAATGTCATTCAAAAATGTCCATCTGTTTAATATAATCTTGTGCAGCACGAATTCATTTAAGTGAGGTTTTTAAAGAATGTCCCGTGTGAATGTGCCCTATCTTTTTAAACAGAGAAATATAAATATTTCTAACTATAATGTTCTTTTGATAATCCAGTTATTCCAAAAAGTGGAAAACTTGAGTACATAATCTTTAAGCATGTAACACCTTTTCTTTAAACCTCCTTAAGGATTTCAGACGAAAAATAAATCATTGCCTTCCAAACTGGGAGGATTCAATTTCACGTTAAACAGAAGAAGAAACCAAGAAAATAACCAACAATCCCTACCTGGTCCCACGGACAGATGATTCCTCCAAACCACATGAAGAGGTATCCCATGGCAACCAGACACACCCAGACAACCAAAGAGAAAACGCGAAGGAACTTCTTGAATAACGGTTCTATGCAGGCAAGGATAAATATGGCAAAGAAAATTGCCAGAGCTGTTGGAACAGTTATCAAGAATGCCACATGGTCCTCAGTCTCCTGAAAACAAGAAAAAAAGAGGAAAACTTACAACTTAACCCAAGTAACAAAGTAGCCAGTATGTGCCTTTATTACAGAACATTCCCAAATATTTGATTAGCTAGTGTCAGACAGTTCCCTTCTTGGGTATCAAGCATGCAAGATCAGGAACTGCATTTTTCACTGACCTTTTACTGTCCATTTAAACTGGAGGTTTAAAATTTAACACAAGGGTGGGTGGGATCCTTTTGTACAAAAACCAGATGAAGCATACTTCTTAGCTGGCTGTCAGAACAATTTAAAACATATTAGTTTGTGATCCATTTAATCTTATACCATCTGTAGCAGCACACTCTGGAACTTTTAGTCCTGGAATCAGCTTACCTTTTGAATGACGTAATTCTATCTGCCCTGATGCAAAGGGCGCATTGTGATGAGTTTCTCTTTGGTGTTCTGTGCATATATGCAATGAAAGGGAATTAGAGTTTGTCATCCTAAATGTACTTACTAGAGATTGTTGCATCCTACTGAATTTTGTGGAGTTTTCTCTACTGAATAAACTGGTGCTTAAGACTGTGATAGAAGCAAATGACCAATATGGAAATAAAAACTAGGATCCAAAGAATTATGCAACTAATTCCATGAATACTCGGGGCTTTACGGTTTGCCCCCATAATCCATGGCAAAGAACTTTTGAAACTAACAGAGGTTTCAAGAGCTGTTTATTGCTGTAGAAGGATGGTCAGTTGCCAAAATTTCCACTGAGCAGTTCACCTTACTCACATAAGCCTAAATAACACTTTCAATCATTCCTGGCTTACTTATTTCTACACAGTCTTTCCATTCAGGGAATCCACAATTCAGCTGACAATACACAAAAACAAATATATATATATATTAAAAAATGTGTAAGAAATGTATATTGAGAAGAACAATGAGAACATTCACTTGTAACACTAAATCATATCTTAGGGACACATGAATGAACAGAAGGGATCTCTGTGAAGCTTTGCAAGCACAAGTCACCCTTTCCTTCTCATCTCTCTCTGTGAAATTAGGAGCAAAAAAAAAAGTAGAATTCAGGCTCCTTTTAGCAGATTCCTGGCTTACTGCATCTGAGCCAGGAATTGTGGTTTCAAAGAAATTCAAGTCAATTGCTAAACAAGCCAACTACAGTCCTGCATTATTTTGCTAATCTTTTTCAGGAACCAGAGTTTACTCTGAATCACAGTTCCAGAACTGCACATAACAACAGAGCAGGCGACTGCTAAAATTTAAATGGTTTCCCCCTTTTTTTCGCCTGGGGAAGCCTGATTTCCATGGGTGTGTATCACAGTGGATCAACCCATATTCTCCCTGCTGAGTAGTCACACCCTGGGTCACACGAACAGAGAGGAAACAGGGGAGAATCAATTCTGCCATTTGGCAGAGACGTCTTTCTGCCTGTGCACATCATGCTAAAATAATGGTTTAGAGCAGTGATCCCCAACCTTGGGCCTCCAGATGTTCTTGGACTACAACTCCCAGAAACCTTCACCACCACCTCTGCTGGCCAGGATTTCTGGGAGTTGAAGTCCAAGAACATCTGGAGGCCCAAGGTTGGGGACCACTGGTTTAGAGCACTTGCTCAAATCATGGTTTAAAGCACTTGCAGATTAAGCTTCGAGTGGGAGGGTGCCTCAGTCTACCACTGTAGAAGATGTCCCCCTCCTTGCACAACAGGCCATTTGTGATTTAGTTTTATGTATGGATGACAATCCTCAAGTGTTCTGTACTTTCCAGAAGCAAGGACAGAACTGTGTTCTTCATGGATGCAGAATACAAACCATGGCTGAGAATATCGTAAGTATTCATAGGTTACCAAAATAATACATTGCATGACCTGTTGGGTCAGATTTAGTCAAGTCATGTGAGCATATTTTCCCCAACAGTTAATGCTCCTTTTATCTCAATGTCTTTGATAGAGTTTCATGTGGGTTCACTAATTCCCAATCCACTTCTTATTATATAGCTCTTCAAAACTGCCAAATGCCTGCTGTCATTCGATCTAAGCCATTCCTTCCATATGTATTTCTTCAAATACTTTTATCAGAGATTGTTAATGCATCACCCAATATAATTTTGTAGTATTTAAGTATCTGAACTAAATGATCTCAACCTGGAACTTAACTGCATATAAGCATCTGAAAACCATCAACTAACTCTTCCAGTGCAATAATAAACTCCTTAACTTCACTACTTGATTGTGCAGAATATAATCACTTAAGAAGTCATTAATATGACAGCTCATTGCATCTTGGGAAGAATAAAATGATTTATAATAATCAAATCCTGGTGTATTTTCTTTGTTGCTAATTGGCGAAGTATTAATTCTCTTTTTCACAGGCGGATAAAATCTTCCTTACTTTTTTTTGCTAAATTACACGCAGGTAGTTCCCATGGTCTATTAATGGTAACAACATACTTTTATGTACAGTGTGTTTCTTTATATTTGAGATGAATTCATACTACCCAATTTTTTTCACTGAAGTTAGGCTTTGCAATATCGCTTTAGATCACACATTGGCTGAGATCCAGCCGGTGCAACTATGAAGTGTAAGTTGTAATGATGCTATCACCCAGCTACTTTAAACTTTATTTTAATTAAATTTAAAACTTCCCATTCCCCCCCTTCATCTCAAGGTTCCTAAAGGCTTCCCCAGGGTAAAAGGAATCCCTAGGAAGCCTTGGAAACTGAAAAGGGTGGATAGAAAGTTTTAGTTTAGTCCATTACAAGTAATAACAATTTCTGGGAATGAATTATGTAAACTGGAATCCTCCAACTCATACCAAAATACTGTAGTAGAATCCCCTGAAAGGTGTTCAAAAACATGTGGGTGGAAACTAATTGGTCCTCTTCAACAACCCCCACATGTAAATACCAGGAAAGAAGGAGCAGAAAAATCCAACCCACCAGTGCACCAAACAGAGATATAAATGCCCATGTGGATATCCTCATTGTTTGTACTTCCTTCATGATTGCTCTAAAATCCCCCTTGGCTTCTGTCAGCTAAAGTTGCTTTGGTAAGATTAGGCTAGGTTCACTAGAATCTGATGTTAAGATTCCTGAAAAAGTCTGTCTTTTCCTCAAATCTGGCTGGTAACAGAAGGCAATGTTGGGTACTCAATGGTCCACTTCAGTTCGTGCTAAACATGCCCAAGTACCTCTTGAAGAAACCTGCTTCGCTAACTCGAGTCTACTCATCTTAGACACTACAATGCCTGCTGGGAGGCTTTTCCACCCCCATTTCCTGTGTTAGTAGTCATATGGGATTCTTTCTCTGGATGATGAACATTTTTTTCTACTAACTACAGTCATAAAATCCAATAAAACATGTATTGAATCTCTATTATCTCTTGTTTGCAAGGTGACTTGCAATAAACCAGTAAAAAAATCACAACTCTGACAAAGAAATCCTATTGACTTCTCAAAAATAAGGCCCAGAGAGTTCAATGGGGCTTGTTCCCAAATATCTAAGTATAGGATTGTAGTGTTATAGGTTTCAATATTAAATATTCTGATACAATATCCATTGCAGCTTGCTTTCTTTGTGGTTACCTCTGAAATTATTCTGTGTGGAGTAGCAGTTAAGACTAGATCATTAACACTTCATCCAACAAAAGATCCTATTCAGGTGTTCTAATCTTCACACCACTACAACTGTGTCAGGTATTACCCATCACCTCCTTCATATCCCCATTATATAGTCCTACTCTTCTCCCTGTGTTGGAGGAGCATGCTTAACAATGAAAATTCACTTTATTTGTTTACTTTCTCCCCCCCCCCATGTGATGTAGAGACCTGATTGTCAGTGATCAAACGTCACACAGGAAGATGGCACATGTACAGGAGGATGTGAGCTTCAGATTGTGTCTTCCAAAAGACTACACAAAGGAATGATGAAGCAAAGGATGAAGCCTGTAAGTACATCTGCTCTCTCCTCATGTGAGAAGGGATAGAATGCCTGAACCACAGCAGCTACCCCCATATCACAAAGGGTAAATAAGTCCAATCCCTAAATTATTTTTATTATAAAAGAATTTAATCATTTTAATATTAATTTAATTCTAAAAAGTTAAATAGAAACAATAGGTGGGTCCTTCACACTGACAAGCCAGTGACTCATATGCTTGCTGAGTCTCCTATATGGGCACTAACTGTGAGTAGGCAACTTCAAGATCCCTGATCTCCCTCTTTATGGTTGTCTGTCTCTAAAAGAAACATGGACTGGAAAAAACTTCAAATGGATGACACCTTCAGAAAGATGGTGCTCTGGCAGCCATTCAAATGGAGAGCAATTCTCCCTGAATAAGGATTTTGCAAGGCCGTCTCTGCTTTACTACGGCTGATACTTGTGATATTTCATCCTAAGTAAACACTAAATGATCATCCTCTTCTTTCTTACAGAGCCCTCTAGCTTGTGTGTTAGTTTATTTACTGCTATTGCCAAGTTCTTCAGTTCTGTCTTCGAGGGCTAGAGACCTACCCTAATCTCTTCTGTTTATATTGTAACTCTAACTCTGGCTTTCTGGTTAGTGTTTAATCTCTTTCAGGTTCAAGAAATAAGTCACAATGTATTTGGGGTTTTCTTTGGAATCCACTTGCAACATCTGTTCATTCTTCTCTATTCGTGCCTAAAGCCTTTATTTATTTCTTCTTCTTATCACAAGCTATGATTTTTTTTTCACATACAAAAATCTTATTTAATTAAGAAATGAGCATTCCAAACTGTAGGGGGAAAGGAAAGATATCTTTAATATAATAATACTTCCATTTTCTGTAACTATACTGACAATAACAGAGAGATTAAAGTGCAATTTTAAAAATACAAACACAACTTTAAATTAAACCAGATTTTAAAGTTTTTATTTTGAAAATGTCTTTTAAAATAAAATAAAAGCCCTACATGAGAAATCATCATCATCATCATCTTACCTTTACCAAACTGGAAGGGACCCTATGGATCATTGAGTCCAGCACA